CGAGATCACGCCATTGCACTCCAGCCTGGGTGACAGAGCGAGACTCCATCCCAAAAAGAAAAACAGCATTGAAGAAAATGCCCAATTGTAAACAGAAAAGGGGAGCCCGGACCCAGTGTTGACTGCCCCTTCCACTCTGATGACACCGGTTCGGAACTTAGATTCTCCCACGGGAGCACAGAAAACTTCCTATGCCACTGGCTCGGCTGCTCTCCACCATCCTCTCACTAATTGCCGAAAGCTGTAACTCACCACCAGAAGGGGCTGGGGATACATTTTGTTCCTCACTGGAGATTCTCCAGACTCTGCCTGCTGACGATGTCGTGGATTCTACAGATGGCATGATAATGCATCTCTGTGGGGAGATCAGCTCCAGGAACTTGCTCCTATAACTAGGGACTCAGGGGCCCCCGCTCCTCCTGACCGACACTTCCCTGCACAGCGCTCTGGAACCCAGAGGAACCAGGTGGGTGCGTCCTTATGTTCGGTCTCAGGGAAGACGACGGGACTTAGTGTCATCCCTCAAGAGACGAACACAGCGCGGTGCTGGTGAAGTCACTTTGTTCAGAGCAGGTGATGACCCTGCCTCACGCTGACATCCCGTTCATGCTCTGGCTGGACAGAGGCAGGTGGCGACCTGCAGGGGAGTGTCTCAGGTAGGACCACAGGTGAGGGTCACTGCAAATCCCTGAGTCCTAGAGAAAGAAGGACAGGGTCTCTTTGGAGTCTGAACCAAACCTTGGATGAACAGACCCACTGAACTCTGAACCATGAACGCAAGAGTCTGCTCATTTTCTCAGACCCAACGGATCTAGCTTTGGGTGTGAATACGTGGCCGGGCGCAGTGGTTCGCACCTGTAATCTCAGCACTTTGGGAGGCCGAGGTGGGCGGATCACCTGAGGTCAGGAGTTTGAGACCAGCCTGGCCAACATGGTGATACCCCGTCTCTACTAAAAATATAAAAAAATTAGCCAGGCGTGGTGGCACATGCCTGTAATCCCCTACTCGGGAGGCTGAGGCAGGAGAATCGCTTGAACCTGGGAAGCAGAGGTTGCAGTGAGCCGTGCCATTGCACTCCAGCCTGGGCAACAAGAGCAAAACTCCATCTCAAAAAAGTACAGATAATTAAAGTGCAGGATTTGTGTTAGAACTTAAATATTCTAATACCAAAAACTAGGTCCGGTGACACACACATAGATGTACAAATAGAAATTTACAGAAAGAAATCATCTATGGTACATCATGGTGGGGTGTAGTAGAATAAGACTGTCTCATTATTTCTCCAAAGATTCTGGAGACACATTTCTCTGTGTGTTCTGTAGTGTGTGTGTGTATGTGTTGTACACTCATACTTTTATCCAAGTTAATGAAAAAGAATCTTCTATCCTTCTTTAACCTGATGCAGCAAGGACAGAGAGAAAAATTTAGAACTGTAGTTCTCAGATCTTATAAAACTATAACTTTTGTTTTTATTTTGAGACAGAGTCTCATTCCGTCACCCAGGCTGGAGTGCAGTGGTGCAATCTTTGCTCACTGCAACCTCCAGGGTTCAAGTGATTCTCCTGCCTCAGCCTCCCAAGTAGCTGGGATTACAGGTACCCGCCACCATACCCAGCTCATTTTTTTTTTGTATTTTTAGCAGAGACAGGGTTTCACCACATTGGCCAGGCTGGTCTTGAACTCCTGACCTCAAATGATTCACCTGCCTCAGCCTCCCAAAGTGCTGGGATTACAGGCATGAGTCACCATGCCCGGCCAAGAGCTACTGATTTTTAAAGGTATTTTGTATTCACTCACTCCTAGGAATAATGTTGAGTTCTCAAAAGTTGACACTTGTTCCTCTTGCAATTGTAATGAGTTAGATGATCTTATGATTTGAGCAAGACTTTGCATTGTTCCCTTTTATCTTAAGTTACTGCATTCCTGTGACAGGATGATATGAATTCTAACTAAGGCACACTGCACCGTCACTGTCTCCTTCTCAGGATAATAACAATTCTAAATATGGCACACTGTACCCTGTCACTGTCTCCTTCTCAGGATAATA